CATAACCAGAGGTTGGTTCAGGGATCCATCCACGATCCATCCCATGGGTGGCTGTACTCGGTATGTATGCACGACACGGCCTCTGAACTGAATCGCATGCATGCGAACACTTGCCACGCGAGTCCTGCAGCCTGCAGGAAGCAGCCGCCACGCTGTCGCGCGCAGTCTGCGGCCGCCGGAACGAGAACAAGCAAACCCAGCGGCGACGGTGAGACCGGAGGATCTGCGGATTCCGTGCGTTCCAGCGACACGCCTGGGATCGTCGGCCTCGGGAATCTTCGAGGCTCCGCGCGCTCGCAACAACGGGATGGAGTCGGAGCGCTCGCGATCGCGAGGTGTCAAAACCGATGGGCGAGGGCGACGCGGCGCACGTCACAATGTCAAAACTCGCGTGTGCCACCCACGCCGGGGCGGCCAGCCGAAACTGAAAAGTGGCGGCGCGTTGTCGGTCGGTCGGTCGGCAGCTGAGCATAAGTCACGGCGGGCATTGGCTGGACGCGCGGCGATACTAGTGTGATTCTCACACGTTCAAATGCTTAACGGGACAGTTCAATGGTCATTTTCATCGAACTTTTTCCACTGTATATATAATAACTGTACGCATATGGTTTGACAATTCCTTCGTCGTGACAGTAGCAGTGGAACAAATATACAAGCAGCCGGCAGAAAATCATGGGCGCTAGTACGGAGCACATGTTTTCAAAAAATTCATTGGCATAATAGATAGCCTGATAGCCGGATGAGTAGCTGCGAAGTTTTGAGTGATTGCAGCCTCTTTTTTTTTTGTTACAGTTTTTTTTATTATCATATTTTGGCTATGGTCTCGTAGCAAAAGTTGCCATTCACGAAAGTAAGATTATTTATCTTGGGAAAGTAACTTTCCAGTAACTTCCTTTGTTTTGGACTACAACGCCGCTGATGGATTAACGGAAGCAACTGGAGGTGTGATGTGCTCTGACCCCAGCATCCAAGAATCTAAGATGGCAATATATATCCAGCGATGTCCGTGCTAACAAAATGCAGTGAGGTCTTTTGTGGCCTTGTAGGTGCTGGTCGAACTAACAGTAGGAGTATGTGCAAACGGTTGTTCGGCAACCTTTTTTTCTCTTGCGTCATGTACCGCACCGGCAAGATGATTACGTAGATTTGTAGCTGTGTGTGCTGTCAAGGATGTACTATGTGACTGACTCTGATCGGTAGCATAGGAAGATGGTGCCACGAAAACGCTTTGGTCCTGTTTGCAATGTAGGAGCATATTGTCCATGGCCTCGTTTAGTCGAGCCGATTCGGCGCCGACAAAAGCACTATAGCTACACTGTAGGTACAGTGCGTTTTGTTTTTATTTGTAATAATTGTTCAATCGTTGGCTAATTAGGCTCAAAACGTTCGTCTCACAAAGTACAACCAAACTGTGCAATTAGTTTTTGATTTCGTTAATATTTCGTACTCCATGCATGTACCGCAAGTTTGATGTGACGAGGAATCTTCTTTTTGCATAATGCCAAAGTTTGAAATTGGGGGAACTAAACACCCCCCCATATGGGTTCTCACGTAGCCGACTGGACCTGAAACATTCAGAACCTGGTCGAGAAAGACCCAAGTCGTTTCCTGGGCAGGAAAGTGCTGCCCCGTGCTGACGGCCGAGTCAGAAGCCCATGTGAGCTAAGAAGGCCAATATATGGGCTACAACGGTATAACCTGGTCCACAATCTAGCCCATTCCACAATGCTGCTGCGTCCGCGCCGCTCCGCCTGTGCGCTCGGCGCCCCGGCGCGTCGTGCGCGGTCTCGCTGCTCGGTCGTGTGGTGATGAGTGATGACTGGTGTGGTGACGAGCGGCAAGGGTGCGTGGTGGCTGGCGGTCACCGAGGCAGAGGCAGAGGGCAGAGGCAGAGGCTCGTGCGACAACATGGCGACCGTCCCGGCGTGTCTTCCGGCTCCTAAAAATCTCCAATAGCTAGTTTTCGAACGTCAACTCGGAAGTGAGCATGGTTACGCATCCCGACCACCTAGATCCGGATTTCTCTCTAAAAATTCAACTCGAATTTGGGTACGTAGGTTGGTTTCATTTTTTTTTTGTCTCTTTATTAAGAATTCAATTCAAGTCGAATTTGGGTAGGTTGGTCGATCGTTTTCCTAAATTCTTGGGGAATTTGCCGGCCGGCCGTGCAGGTTGGTTTCATGTTTTTTTTGTCTCTTTATTAAGTTAATTCAATTCAAGTCGAATTTGGGTAGGTTGGTCTGTTTTCTCGTTTTCCTGGCTTATGTTTTAAGCAAGGGTAAACCAACTTAAAATTTCCAGGCGCTTATAAGTTGATGGTGTTTGGCAAAATAAGTCACTTATTTCACTTTTTAACTTATAACTAGGTGACTTATTTGGAACCATACATGCCCTAAACAAACCCTGGCTCTCATCAAAAGCGATCAGCTGGGTGCAGAGCCACTGGGGAGAATCATGACATGATCAGCGATAACCCCATCCTGTCCTGCGCGGTCTCCTTTTTCAAATCCACACGCATGACATCCAGCAGGCCGAATTCAAATACTGCGTGCTGCTAGTGCACTTTGGGCAGACAAGGAGCACCACTGAACAGGTTTGATATCTCTCACCTTTTTCGCCAGAGAAAGAATATCTTCTGTTCACAAAAAAAGAGAGAGAAAGAATATCTTCGGCAGAGAGCTGCTATGCTACCTTCTGCTAGTTTGTAGTTTGCCCTTCCAACTCCTTTCTTGGATCAGAACGAATGTCCCAGTTGGGGGGGAAAGCAGGAGACGGCATGATGATGGACATGAAGTTGCATGCTGATGCATGCGTGAAAACTAATCAAGCCGAGACCATAAAAGAATTGGTCAAGTGCTGCTGTGTGGCGCCACTGTTCGTGATAACACCAAGGATCAAGATCAAGCCAGTATATAGGACATCTCGAACTCCATTCAGAATCCAAGTTGCTTCGAGAACCTGCAAGTGGTAGTTGTGCTGTCTAATAAAGTTGCTTCATGCCTTCGTCATGTGCAGATGTGCACGTACCTTGTGCCTGTGACAGCCACGAAAAACCTTGGCAATTAATTAATTCCTCAAAAAAATCCTGACAATTAAGGTTTTAACAAGTTGACTCTGAAACCTTATCTATTACTACTCCGTAGTACTAGTTGCTACCACTACAAAAAGTACATCATTTTTTTAAGAAAATAAATCAGATATCAAGGCAATTGTTTTTTTAATAAAAATAAAACTAATACATCCCTTTATCCTCCATTTTTTTTTGCCATAAACAAACCCACCAGACACGATGGGCCGCCGTCTTACTCCAAGGATGCAAGCCCATTTTAGAACGTAGGTGGAGACATGAAAGCTTGCTATAATTGCAACTAAGCACTAGCGTTCTCTCAAAAAAAAAAAAAACTTAGTTGTCCGGGTTCTATGTCAAAACCAATGACCTCGAAACTCTTTTAAAATCTTGTACTAGAAAAGAAAAGAAAAGAAACAAACAAAAAAAAAGAATAGAAAAGAAACAATAGTGGAGAAGATGTTGAAGAAAAATCTCTAATTCAAAATCTACATAGACGGTTTGATGGCTTCGTGATGTATTTCTGGTCGCGTATTTAGAACCATAGAAATAAAAGAATCTTCCAATTGAAATAGTATCTACAGTAACTATCTGCAACCCATACAGGTGACACACATCATCATCGAAGAATCCTCCCAATGGAAATTCAGCGTTCTAAAGTTGGTGCCCCTGCCTGGCTTTGCATCTTCTTTTTTTTCCGGCGTTGGTCTCTCCCTGGCCCTTATTAGTGTTTGAAGAAGAACAAACATTTCGAGGATTACTTTTCTGTGTGTCGCAATCTCGGACGTCCTTTGTGCGCTGCCCTGTTAATTTGCCGAGTTGTGTGGTCTTTAGACTTTATTACTCGTGTTGTTTTGGGCCTTTCAGTTCTGCCTTTCTTTTCGTTTCTTGTAGTTGACACAGCTGTACTATTTTCTTCCTTGTAATAAAATTGTACTCCCTCTTCCAAATTATAAGTCGCTTTGACTTTTTTAGTTCATCCATTTTGCTATGTATTTAGACATATTATTATATCTAGATACATATCAAAATAGATATACCAAAAAAGTCAAAACGACTTATAATTTAACAGCCTTTTCGCTTGCTCGTATATGATCGTAGATTATAAGCTAGAAGAATATTTTTCTCTAGATTTAGATATTTCTTGTCTTGAGTTAGAATACCCAACTCCAAAAATTGTAGGGGCTGTACCCTAAACCTTGACCTAAATAAAGAAGAACAACACCATCAAGAGTTCAAAATCTTGATGCTAACGTTGTTTTTTTTTCCAAGAATATGTTCATTCATCCACCTCGCTACACCATTATTAGATGTACTAATATAACCTTAACAATACGGCTAGTTCATGTACGACAGTGATATTTGCAAATGCCACTTTACGAAAGTGTACCTGTATGAACTCTGCTCTGTGGAATCAAAACAAAAAGGCACAACATAACATCGAGTAGTAGTGCACTAGTAGTACTAGGGAACTTGCTAGCTTTTGTAATATAAGGCATCTTTGCCCGTGTCAGTGCTGCTTGTTACGCTAACATAGTTAAATTCCACCTGAACCACCACCGCATACGCTCTGGTTATAAATACTCAAAAGCTACGTACAGCTTACACACCTGACACCTGCAATGGAGAGCCATGCGCCACAGAGAAAGCTACAACTACAAAAGCCTCCCCGGCTTGGTCTGGTGACCCCACGCCGGCCTCCAAACAACTCCTCGGAGGGCAGGGGGCACGCCACGCCACTGCATTTTGCGACGCCATTGGTGATCAGGCCCTAATAAACCAAGCCTTCTTTAGTCTTTACAAGCGCACTCACCATCATCACCATTAACTAATGCGCGCGCTGATTAAAAGGCTGGGTCTCGGGGGACGCTGGTAGCAGGGGCCCTCTTGTCATGTGAGGTGAGGATGCGAAGTGCGTTCCTGCCATTCACACTCACACGGCGTCGTTGGCATCGGCCTTGGCGGCGGCGGCGGAGGCGAGGAGGAGGCACCGGCAGAGCGGGCAGCTGGGCTGGGACCGGAGCCAGGCGTCGACGCAGTTCGGGTGGAAGCAGTGGCCGCACGGCGGGAGCACCTTCACCTTCTCGCCGGCCACCAGCGCGCTGATGCAGATGGAGCACAGCGCCTCCGCCGCCTGGTCGTCGTCGTCGGCCTCGGCCTCGGCCTCCTCCCCGGGGACGGCGCAGCGCGGCGGCACCACCGCAGGCGGGCGGTACAGCGTGACGGGCAGCCCGCGGATGGCGTCGGCGTCGAGGCCGGGCAGCGACGCCGCCGCCGCCGACGAGGACGAGGCGTCAGCCGCCTCCGGGTCATCGGCGGGCGCGTAGCGGTGGCACCTCCAGCGGAGGTACAGGCAGAGCGCGACGAAGAAGACGACGGCGCACAGCAGGCCCACCAGCAGCGGCACCGCGCGCCCGTGCACCGCGAAGTTGCTGTCGCCCACGTCCCCGTACCGCCACCGCGTTACCACCTGCTGCGGGACCCCGCCGCCCGCGGCGGCCTCCTGCGCTGCCATTGTCGTTCCTCCTTCCTCGCCGGCGCCAACAACCGCACCTGCGCCACACACACACCGCGCGCTGCCACTCGCTATGTGTGGCAGAAGAGGGGCATGGGACGACGTACGCGACAACCAGCAGAAGCAGCGTCCGTCGTCGCTAGCTAGCTAGCTACTCGCTCGTGTGTGTGTGTGTGGTCAAGCTAGGCGGCCGGCAGTCGCGTCGCTCGCAGCCGTGCCGGGCGGCGTGTGGCTCGGCGAGGTTGGCGACCGCGTCACCGCGCGCGGCGAGAGCGATCGCGGTCGCGACTCGCGGGGGTGGCAAGTGCGATGGGTGTGGTTTATAAAATTTGAAAGCGCCCGGGCCGTCCCTTTTAAGGTTGGCGAGAGGGCGGAGGCTACCGCGCCACTGCCTGCTGTAGTGGGCGACTGATGAGAGCGTCCGTCCGCCGTCAGCCAGTGGCCGGGGTGGGGTAACCAACAAGCCCCCAAACTGACGGCCAGATTGCAAAGTGGCAACAGCGAATGAGCGCCAAGGCCACAAATCAAATGGACGGTACGACGCAATTTACAGTAAGAATCTTTGGAACTTGATTAGGGTTTGAGCAAAACCATAAAAAACTTGGCTCTAACAATATTCTGTACCTGCCGACTGCAGTCAGTCCGGCAGCCGCCGTGCCGACGGAACGGGACGATCGGGTCTTTGTCTGGTTCGTTTGACTAGCCGGCTGGCATGGTTCGTTCCCAGCGTGTAAAGATTCGGTCGCTGGCTAGCGTTTGAATCTGTAACAGTCATGGTAGACTTGTAGGCGTAAACTATATATATATCTAGCCTGTAGTACTGTTCCGGCCGCCGTCGACCAGGGTCAATCAATGAATCGGCACAGGTACCACGCATGTGTACATGTACATGTCGACGGGCGTTCGATCGAGGTCGCTGTCCGTTGTGCCTACAAAACGGGAGCTGTCCAAGACGACGACGGACGACGGGGCTCAGCACGGTCTAATACGACAGGCAACGCATGCAATACGCCGCCGGATGGATGGATGGATCGGAATCAAGAACCATATATTTTCGGGCTTCGGCAAAGGCTTTTGTGCAGATACATCATAGATGCGTCGTGGTCGACTCGTCGTCGTGCTCTCCTCGTGCATGGTTCCCGGTCGGCTTCGTCTGCCGTGGCGCGCACACACCAACACTAAGGGCCTGTTCGTTTAGGACAAATCCTGGCAGGAATCTGTAACATCCCAGATGTTAAAAAGCAGCTAAAATTTGATCATGAGCATCATGAAGCATAATCATCAAGTATTGTTTCATTAATGCAATTCATGTTGTAAATATAGCATGTCCATGTTGCATAAGTGATGTTTCATTTATAGCTTTTCTATGTTGCATGTATAGTGTTTCATATGTTGCATATATAGTGTTTCACATGTTGCATGAAATGTTACCTTTGATATCAATTATGAAACTTTATGAATTTATGTAGGAGAATTTGCTTAAACAAATAAAATTTTGTTTAAATAAAAGTTGTAGTGCAAAGTGTGCTTTATAATGTGGAATCAAAGTTTGATATGTTTACATTTGAGCTCAAAGATTGAATCCAATGACTAATTTTCACACTTAAGTCAATTTGACTAAGTCCCTGATTTTAATTATAAAGTTCAATGTTTGGGATTTTATTAAATCAATTTTTACAAATAAAAATTGAGCAACTTTTGTTCTATTGTTTGGAGTAATACTTGATTTGTGATAATATCTAATTAGTTTACATGTTTGATAGATGGTTGATCATAGATTAATTGCTCAAAGTTGTTTAATGAAAATAGTCTCCAAACCCTAACTGAATTTCAACTTTGCAGTTTCAAAGTAACCATTTTCCAAACTCCAAATCTACAAAACTGTTGATATTTTGATGATGATCCTTTAAGGAATATTGGAGATCACTGAACAATGAGCAATGTTTCTTAAGGTTGGTCATCAGGTAGTTTTGCAAAATCTTGAGATCCAGTGAGGGGAAGGGAGCAGGTTCAGTCTTTGGAATAGAGCAGGGCTCCATCGCCGGCAGCAAACAGCCAGCTTGGTCACCGACGACCGCCACCGCCTCTTCGCGCCGCTTCTCGCGCGCCCGGCACGCAGCAACTTGCATGGCCAAGCTCAAGCAGCTGCTGGCAGCCACGGACGCCTCGTCCTCGCCTTTAACTGACCGAGCCACCGGCGTCCCCTCTTTTCCCATCCTCTGCTCGTCGTCGGTGATCTCAACGCGACGGCAAAATTCACCTCGCTCGATCGCCCTCCATCCAATTTCTCACGCGCCTAGCAGCTCCTTGTCCTTGCGCACCCTCTCGACCCACTCGCGCCCCCTCTCTCCATCAGTGTCATCCGTGAGCGCCATTCACACCACGACGGCTCGCTATGGCCGCCGTGAGCCGCTCCGCCGTGGCTAAAGTCCTTCGGAGTATCTTCCTTCATTCCATCCTTTATTTAAGCTTCTCCTTGACTCTCTAATGCTCACCATCCCTTTGGTTTTTCCAGGCGCGCACCGGAGCAGCCGGAACGCGACCTCGCTTCCGGTCCGACACCACCATCGCCCCCGGCATGCTTATCCGTGCCGCCTCCGCTTCAACCCTCTAGCCAAGCATGCTCGCGGTGAGCTTCTAGAGCTAACCATGCCCTCTGTGTTACCTCTACCGCGCTAGAGTAACTGAACCGCCCGCAGCGCGTTGCCGTGCCGTGTGCCGCCGTCCGCCATGGCTGCGGTTGCGCGCCCGCCTAACCCTAACGGGTTCAATCGATAGGTCGGATAGCTATGTTGGGTCTTAGGGGATGTGTTGGTGATCTCCTGGTTGACGGAGATCGCGCCGTCGGCCATCTCCGTCGTGGTGGTGCGCCGTCGTGCCGCCGTGGTCGGCGCCGAGATCGCTGGAGCACCCTTTTCATTGAACCGGTAGCGTGTCTGAGTGCGGGGGTAGATGGGAATCACGTCGGGGTAGCCGCCGTCGCTGGAGACCTCGTCGACGGCGAGGAAACGACAATCAATCGCCGAGAACCCACGCGGCCAGGATTGGGAGTACTGTTGCGTTGACCCCGAGCCCTCCTGTCAGTGTCTATGGGTAGGGGAGAGTGGAGTGAGAAAAGATCTGTGCATAGAAAATGATTTATTCTTTTTCTAAAAAATGCTTTTATATGTTGATTCTTGTATAATTCATAACTAAATATTGGTACATGATAAAAATATGAAACTTTGTGTGCAGACTTTTATGTTATGCTCTACCATGGAAAAATATGAAATGATCATTTTCAGAAGTTTTTATATGTTTTAAAATTACCTCTTTTAATTAATAAATATACCTTCCATGATTTTTATAGGCTAAAATAATTATGCTTTAATAGTTAAACTTTTTATATGCTTTGCATGCTTATACCTACCTTCACAAAAAGTTGGGTACTATTTTGATAATTCTAAATTGGTTAATTAAATTAAATGTGCTTAAATACCTTTTATGGATTAATAAAAATAACAAATGATTTCTATAGATCCCTAAATGGCTTTGGTGTGGTTTTGGGACTTGATCGTGGACCTTGGAATACTAATCACTTTATTGTTCCTTGGCAACTTAATCATTTTGATGTTATACTCATAACTAATTTGTTAGTTAATAAATAAAAGAGTTTACTCAAAATGGTTAATTAATGAATGTATGTGGTTAAATCATGTTTTGATCCTTGCTTGCTCTCATGGATTGAGCTTTGTGTAATGTTTAGTTAAATAAACTTGTCTTGCTTGACTTGTGTAATATAATGAATTTTGCTTCCATGTTAAACAACTAATTAACTTAATAGTTAATTAACTAAAATGCTTTTATGCTAATAACCCTAGTTCTTTAAGTGAAGGAAAGTTGTACTCAAGTTAATTAACTTTAGTTAACTACTATTATGCACTTGTGTGTGTCATTCATCATGCATCATATCATGTATTCCATCATATTAAGCAAAGCATCATTTGTTACGTGTAGTATAACCGAGAGTGAGAAGACTCGTGTTGATCAAGTTTTGGAGAAGGACATCCATTCATGGTGTCGGTGCCAAGACTGACTTCTGTAGTCCTCTGTGGAAACTAACCTTCTCTGCAATGCAGGTAAGCCCTGTTGCATATCACCCTTCTCTAGTATTTACAAATCCTTATTACACTTTAAGTCTTGTAAGATGTGCATTAAGTAATTAGGAGTTGGTCGAATACCGTTGCTGCATAATTACCTTAATAATCAGGTATCCTTAGTTATACCCTACTAGTATGAATAGATCGATACCTCTAATGCTTAGTAATGCTTAGACTTCGGCAAAAGTCGAATGATGGTTTCATTGTTCGTGAGAAATAGGTTTTAACTGGGTTCTTCTCAGCACCGTATATGGGTCATGAGAATATCATGATAATGATGATGATTAAATCGAGACCGAGTGGGTGACTTGCATCAAGAATGGAGTCTCCATGTAGTGCCTCCACCTATGTCGATTGAGGACCGTTCGTTGTAGACCTATTATGAGTTGGGACTTTATAGTACTGGCCACATACTCCGGTAAGCTTGATACCTCGGCTATTCCATTATGTGAAAAGACAACCGTTAAAAGGTCCTAATGGCTAGAGAGGGTGAATAGCCTATTAAAAAATTCTACAACAACACTTAACAAAACGGTTAGATAATTATAAGACGAAGCAAGTGTTGCGCTAGCCTACTAAAAATGCAAGACACCTACCACAATTTTAGTTTCTGTTGTCTCTAACCACACAATAGTTATGGCACTACACTAAGTTAGTGTGCTCTCAAAGACTAACTAAAGAGCCACACTAACCAAACTAATAAGCTCTCACAACTAGCTACACTAAAGAGCTTAATAACTAGTTTGCGATAATGTAAATAGAGAGAACAAGATAGTTATACCGTCGTATCGAGGAGTGAACCAATCAAACACAATAATCAATATCAATGAAGACCAATCACCTCGGAAATAAATGATGAAC